TCCCAGCACAGAGCACGGGCAAAAGCTGATGGAACGAAGCCGACGGACAGCTGATCCAGGCGGCTCCAGTTCCGACGGATGCACTGTCGCAACAAATCCACCTCGGACGGATGCTGGAGTCTTTCCCACTCAAACGCCGTCAGACAGGATAGTCTAGACACTCCGTCCAAGCGGTGCAATGTTTCAGGACAGGTGCCGTCAGTGACGAGTGAGAGACGAGCGAGGCGCTGTTGGTACCGACTGAGATAGCCTTCCTGGTCGAGAACTTCTACTGGAACACGTGTCCCTAGGCGCCATCTATTGCTAGTCAATCAGAGGTCTAGATAGATAGATACCGGCCTATACGAACTCAAACGTGCTCAGTCTATTCGGCTTCAGGTGGGTGAATATCAGCTGCAATTGATCCTTCACGTCATCTAGGAATTGCCGGTGTGCCGCCGCCTCGTCCGAGGCTCCCAGTGTAGCCGGGGACTCCGGCAGCCCCGCCGCACGAAAGATGTTGTAGTATGCACATCGGTTAAACCGAACAAGGTGGAATGGAGCCTTGATCTGTAGGTGCCGCGCGTGTTGGAGATAGTCCGCGGCCCGTGAAGGACCGAAACGGAGAAAGAAGGGCTCGACATTCAACACATTCAGCGCCCATTCACTTGCTGCACAGAATGAAATGGTACGGTATATCCGAGGAACCAAAACTGCATACAACCTGGACGAGACTCGGCTGAGAACGCGCAGGGTGGTAGCTGATAACTGGTAGGCGGTCAGTACCTGGACCAAAGCAAACACACTGGAACTCACCCAATCTGCGATAAACATCAGAATCTCACACGGCAAGGTGTTCAGCATTGTAGTCTGTGCTCACTTCATTAAAATCGCTCTGGACAGCAAGAGGCTTATAAGCACGCATCTATCTGAGCACCCAGTCAAGTTGCCCAGACATTGCGCAGAGGACGTTCAATATTCGCAGGCACGCATCATCGCGCTGGATGGTAAGCTCGTTCGACCAGCCCATGATAAACGGGCTCAGCGCCATTTCTGTAACCGCTCTTCACCCAGGCCACCAAGTCTTGTGGAGCGCATTGCCAAGCTCAATGGTCGTCCAACATGAACGGCAAACAATCAACTGACCACAACGTGGTGTATCTTCACCGAAATTGGCAACCACAAGATAAACTGTGGATGGGCTGAGGAGTCGCTCTTCGATACAAATTATAAGAACGTTCAAAGGGCAGAGCTGGTCGGATAAACATGTCGGCGCTGGTTCATGTGGGGCAACGGAACAGGTCGCGGTTGAAACGGTCGATCCTGGTGGAACGGTTATCAATGTGTTTCAACTGTGAAACACGACCGCCGACCGATTGCACAAGTTTACCCAAGGCCATTCCATTTCCTACGAAATAGGCGACAGTAGTACGGTCGAGCAGTTGACCGGGTCCTGACATCCAGTCTTTACAGGTCGGTGTCATTGGGACGTTGCTTCGGCAGAAAATGGAAACAGAATTTGGCCTCTTACCTTGGTACAATTTTAGTATCGAGCGTCCAACAACAACTGCACAAGTTTTGTCACAAGACTAAGGCACCTGGTAGTATGGTATATTGTCACGATTTGTACTGTATCCGGCCAATTGGAGATATCAATGACTCTGTATTGCATTACCCCTATTTCCTGCTTTTTGTAAGGCAATTTAAAATACATTTGCGGGTTCAGGGACTACTGTATTTCCGAAGCCTTCGAATCATCTATGGAACCGGTTTCATGCGGTATTCGTAAGCCCAATGCTTAATATTTGCGGCATCTAGTTAGTTAGCTAACTTAGCCATGTATGACTGACGTTTCAGGCATCCATACTGTTACCTCGGGAATGAATCAGATCGACATTTAACTAATGAGATTAAGCATGAACAGAGCTTTCACTCCTTCAATAGTAGAATCCCAACATAATAGGCTACATTATGAGGGATCAGACCTAAACAACCTCTTTGAATCAATACAACACCTACTTCCAATATATCATACACCATCAATTTCACTTAGCTATCTATAAGGCGGTTGGTTGACCTGACAAAAGCCACTCACGTCTACTGTCGTGAAATAGGAAGATAATACCACCGAAGCGAGGGAGAAGAATATCATGCCAAAGCTATACAAGCAGTACCGAAAATTTCTAAAGCACTTCGTCTGTAAACTCTGCGGGTTAGAGACATATATACAGAATTTAGCCGATCCAAGGGGCACACGATCTCGGCCATCTCGGTACATTATGATCAATTAAAGAGGGTGGACACTGCCGGTTTCCAATATCGGAGATGTAACCTTTTCTATCAACAATGGACGGAATCCAAAGCAAGGAGCGAGATGAGAGGGTGATGATCAGATATTTTGCTCCTGCCATTTCATCCTGGCCCCGGTATTTGAGCGATCACCCCACGTTGTAGTCGGTCACACCGTCTCTGGAATCGATGAAGCTCATGCTGCCATTTGAAGTACTGCAGATAAGGAAATCCTCGAATAAGTGACGGCGCTGTAGACGAGGACTAAATGCATCACATAGAGACTGGGCCGCCAGCCATTCACCGCCCCAATTCTCTCTGACGGACGAAGCAGATAGAACGCAGCACCAAGAGAATTTCCAATGGCGACTCGACTGAAGTGTACCGCCACTGCAGGTGGGCTTTGGAACGTCCCGGTCAGAGCATAAATAGTCGGTATGAGCGAAAGTAAACCCAGTGAAACGCAGCTGTACGGAAACCGGTACTGAACCGCACAAACACTGGGATCGGAGACCACAAACTCCACCAGGATGCCGACAGCAACGACGGTAAAGGCAGCTAGGTATCCGAGCTGGAGGCAGGGTTCGGTGCGGAACAGCACAACCACCGAAGGAAGGGTGGCCGCCCAGATCAGGACTAAAGTGGCTCCAGGCTCCAGCTTTTGCCACTCTGCCGCATCATTGCCCCCGAAAGCGTCTACAAAGCAGTAGAAGAGGCTGGACAAGCACCAGAAGATGACACCTGCGCAAAAGGCTAGCACGGACAGGGAGTCGAGAATACCTCCGGGGGTGGAGGGGAAATGGAAGAGCAGAAATTGAATCACAGAAAGGTAAAAGTAAAGCAATCCAAAGACATTAATTATGGTGAGGATTGCGAAATCGTGCAGGGACTGCGCTTTTGGGTCAGCCATTTAAGTTGTATACTTGTTAGAGCGATGACATGGGGGAAGCTGGGCTTTTAAGCTGAATAGCATGAGCGAAGCAGCTGTTGGATCAGATGCCGTCTCGATCAGTGCACATTGTCTCGGATAAAATAACGCAACTGAGTAGGAGAATGTCAGAGGGGAAAGGGTAAGATATTGTGCAATGGTTAACAAATGGCATTCACTAATGGATTTTAGAAAGGACGGTTAAAAACGGTTAAGAAAGGGAGGCTGAGAAGGATGTCCAGCTCATTTGAACATGCTTTGAATACTTGTGCCCTGTTCGGGCGGGCATCATCTATGTGGCGGTCCAAGTTAGCTTTTTCTCAGATAGACCACTGGCTCATCCCTGTCTATCCCGTAGTAACTGACACAGCAACTTGCGTCTCATGTCGAAATAATTAAATTGGATCCACCCGACCTAAAAGATTTCTTAAATGTTGATCTAGCAAAGCTGGCCAACACCGCCTGTCCTGCCACCCTCAATTCTATGGTTAAAGATCCTGCCACTTTTGCTTCAGCTATCCTTCGGGCGAACACAATGGAAGTCTTCACCGGATATGTCTAAAAATCCAAAACTTCTTGACCGGTTGTAAAGAACTCATTTATGAGGGGAGCTTAGTTCTCGCCTGGTTGTCGCCGAGCCCTGCATCTCCGTAGCGAGCGTTTCCCGCAATCAAGCTCTTGTAGGTGGACTTACAGTATAAATCATCACCGCTGCGGGAAATAGCAGCTATATTCCCACCCAAGTGTTAAGCAAAGCAGATCTCAATGGAGGAAATCGTCAATATTGTTCGAGAGATTGGCCGACAACAGGGAGAAAATGTATACTTTCGAGCCTGCTACACCCTTTTCAAACACCTACAGGACAAGACCCAGCAAGCTTCTGAGGAGCTAATTCACTTACACCAATCCGGCGACTTTGGCTCATCGGATGATGAGTTTTACCCGGTCTATCAAATTGCGCAAGAGCTTCAAGCCTCCGTGCATAACCTGGCTGACCAGGCGCGTAAGGCGCAGTTGGCCTGTGAAGAATTTTGCGAGTTGGACTCTCGCTACTCGGCCTGTGAAACTTTCAAATTTGCCGATAGGGTACAAGCACCTCGAAAGGTCGTGAAGCATGCTTACCAGGGTGTTTGCGATAGCCCACGGTCGATGCAATTTATAATGGTACCAGTGGATGATCCTCTGGGTGACTGTACGATAGCTTCGAAGAGCATGTCTGAATTCCTGCAACACAGCAGAATACCTGATTCATCAAAAGATCAAGCACGAAGGCCGACAGGGTCGTCCACTTCGTAAAGCACAGACAACCTCATCAGGGGCAATAAAGCTTTGCCCGCAATTACAGTACAAGCCTATTACAAATGGATGGAAACCAATTAAAAATACCACTTTTTTCCCTATCATTCTTTCTCGAAGTCGATTCTGGAAACGGTAGTCTATCTAGTCTAACCCATGTATTGTTGTCTATCCTACAAGGCGGATCGAAATAAGTTTCAACGTTTTGTTCTCTTTGAATGGTTCTCGAATGTCATATTATAGTGACTCCAGGCTTAATGTGGTTAGTCAATGACAGACCCTTGCTCACAACCCTTTTCCTATTCGGCATAGCGAGATGAACTAGTCCAGACGTAGATTGAAGCGGGCCTTACCAAGACTGAAGAACTGAAGAGAATAAAGCGGTGAAACTGATTTCAAGGGGACCTGTAACTACTCCGCATTGTACTACTCCATATCCGCATCAAATACAGCAGCAAAACATTTCTATCAGCCATGTCAAAAGGGCTGCAAAGGAAAATTTCACTGCTAGCCAGGTTGCAGCGAACGAATGCGCCCCAAAACTTGCATCTGCCCCCAGAGGATGAAGGATACTCTGTATGGCACCCGTAATCAACCCGTAGATTACCGTAACCCCGATGGATGCACCGGTGACAAAAATAGCGGCAGACTCAGCAATGGTCAGCTTGTGTATATAGAATCAATGTGCCAGGGCCTTACCAACGAAGAGAGGATAAGCAATACTTTTCCTCGAGAAAAATACATTGTGGTGACGCCAAAAATAACAGCCATACATGTGGAAACAAATCCCAGGATGTAAGCTGAAACTGACCACCGGGAAACATCATGATATCCAGCAAGGACCTTGTTATTTTCGTCTGGTAGTACCTCATTGATGCCTGAGGAAACTGAGCCAAAAATGCTTAACAAGTCAAATGAGAAAGAGGTACTGGGCTGCGAGCAATTGGAATACGATGATTCTTCCTTCTGTCCTTGGCAATAACCCCAAAGCCCAACAGAATAAAAACCAGGAAGGTGTGAGCTGATCTCGTCGGACAATGATTAGACCTTATCAGTGACCTGGCTTACTGCAGTCTCTGCGGCGCCCGAGGCATAAATGACTGCAGTTGAAGCACTGTTCACAACACCGTTGGCCTCACTACTGGCTTTATTTGCAACATCGGATCCGTCCACCCCGGCAATACTGGGGGAACGACGTAGATGAAGGTTCCCTGGTTCTGGGAAATTGGTTAAATTCACCTATGGATTATGGATTTCACATTAGCTTAGTGTGTTCCTTAGGTTTATGGTATATTGGCTTGCCTTTAAGAAATGCAATCCAGTGGGGGAAGAGGCCGATGTGCATCCCACAAAGACAACAGCGAGGCAGGCCAAGGCCGATATCGAGAAAGCCAAGGGAAGTAGCTTTCCTACGTGCCGAAGCATTCTATATATGCTATATTGGGGTGTTTGGAAGAAGATATGAGTGTCCTGGTAATGGTCCCTTGATGAAAGCCCTTCACTAGCATGTAGAAACCATGTGCTCTTTATAGAAGCGATAGCCTGTATATTAAAGTCATAACAGAAAGACATATAATACCAAGGTGAACCGAGTCAGGAGCCGTCATTCCATGTACCCATTAAAGTTCAAGTGGCATAGCATTATTGACTGCTGTTCGGGGTTGACAACACAACCCTCAAATGTTTGGTTTCAGCAAAATTTGGTTTAACGTGATGGACCTGACCAAGTTATTGCCATTAAATTGTAGTAAAATCTATTGGAACGGTTGAACCCCTAACAGTGAGCGAACATTAGAGGGAATAAGGCCTGATTTAAGATCAGGTTAGCCGGAGCGACGGAAGTTGACTCCCTCAGTTTTCTATAGAGAAGATCGACCACCACTTCCGCGTCTATAATGGAATTGTACCATCATGGGCCTCAAGTTGATTCCGGCTACGGCATATCAGTCGAAAAGGCAAAATATGAAATTGGCTCTCTCCTCCAGGACATTTAAATAGTCCCGCTCTCTCGGCAGCAAGCTCAAACATACCGCGCGCGTTGCATTAGAAAATGACGCGCTTATCTCAAGCTCAAGCGGAAGAAGCCGAGGGCAGACTGTTCACCTATCGTAAAGAACATTTCAAGATGGCCGCACGTGTTGACATTTCTCGTCTTGTATTCGACAAAAACTTCAAGCGGCAAATGAGCAACCGCCAGAATATCCCCCGACTTGAGCGAATTATGGATACTGAAGGGTGCTATCGCCTGATGGAAGAATACCATGTCCCTGTATTGGTTCCTGGAAGTGATTGGGAACGTTACGTCAGGCCACGACTGGTCAATGGACAAATCCATGAATTGGATGTCGATATCGACTATCAGCTGCGCGCACAGGATCATGAAAATTTGATTATCGCGGCAAGGAACAAGCTCAGTCCTAGCAATTCGTGGTGGATTGTGGATGTTTACGTCACAGACCAGATAGGTGCGTAAAGTAGTGCGCTTTCCCCCGGCATGTATATGCCTGATGTTTTCAAGCTAGTGAAGATCCCTTAGAAGAAGAATTCATTCGGTCTCTTCGAGAGCACTTCCCGAATGATCAAACACCTCCGGATGGGCTAATCTATCAACGAATAAGGTATTATGAAGGATATCTCGATGGCCCTGTAAACAGAATAGCAGCAAACCATTGGTGGGCTGCTCTAGAAAGGGTTTCTGGAAGCAAAAAGGGAAAGTATTTGCGAGCTTTCTTCAAACATCCGACAATGCCCCAAGCTTTCGATGCTCTGCTCCCTATAGCGGGTATTTGGGAAGGCATGCGAATTGGACTACTCCATAAATTGGTGGCAATGCGTTGTGATGAGGTAAGTTACTTGCTTCCATTTGAATGCCCAAAATGTCATGCTCAGACGGCTAAGTGAAAGCATCAGCCTCTTCTGTGCTATTTGAATCACATAAAGAATACGTTCTTCGGCTTAATGGGAAACAGGCTTGACCTTTTGGCACGATTAGACGGTGTGACTATCCAGCTATTAAAATCGCGTGCGCCCAAAGTCTCTGCTCGGGACTTGAAGTTTTTGAAGGAACGAATGTTAAAGGAAGAATTGTTCCCTGATCTTGAACATGCCCAGGACCGCTCTGAAATTTGGGAACGATTACAAGAGATTCAGTACCCCATACCGACGCTGGAGACATTTTTCAAAAACAGGCTCACCCTGGAGGTTAGCCGGAGTGTACTACAGCAACTCTGCATTTCTGATCCCCATCGGAAGATAACCATCGACGAAGGACTAGGGGAACAATATAACACTAGTGTCCCTGTCATGACTTCAAATCGTCAGCATGGAATACGGGAGGACCTTTATGATTTCTGGCGTTTCAGCTTCCAGTACGGATTCGAAATGACGAATCACGAGCGCCGCGTGCCGCGGACAAAATCTGGCACGCAACGCGCGGCGACACCTGTTGAAGGACTTCACACGCCTGAACGGGGAATTCTTTGGCAACACCTCTTTTGGCTTGCCAGGGAAAAAGGATTTAGCACCCCTTTTGCGGATGGACCCCAGGCTGAGCCTGTTGAATTACCTCCCCTCACACCATGTGACTTTCCAGCAAGTCTGGAAGAAGACCTACCGGTAGAAAGACGATATGGAAAGCCATATACGGACTCAGTGGAGGCAGATCAGTTTGCACTTTCGCGGGAGGTATTGGAACAGCCTCGGAGCTCTCCCCGAGTTACTGCAGGATTTGCTCGGCGATCGGTGTTTTTGGCATATTTCCGCTATCTCAAAAATATTCCTGATAGTCAATTCGTTCGTCCAGTTGAAACCAACGATACACTTTCTCAATCTTCTCTCTGGAACCCGAACTTTGACAACATGATTCAAAACACGATAATTCCACCAGCAGAAAATGAAGCAACCGTGTTCCCCGTCTGTTCTACTCCGCAGTTTGATCCCACATTGGCTGCTCCAGCTATGGATATTCAGCCATCGAGCTGCTTTAACATGAAATTCATCATTCCTGGCGAGCCTGATAAAATCGTGCCGCTACCAAATATTCAATCCGCTTTGAATACGTTCTTTGAAGGGTTTTCCCAAAATCATTTCTATATATATTCTAGCGATAATCCAACACGGGGCATCAACGGGAGAGATTGCTATTCGCTATATTTGGGGAACCCGTTCCTACTTTTGCACGCCGAATATATAGGTGAGGATCTTTCCCAAACGGTATTTCACGGGTCGACCGACCAAGACGAAGGAAGAAGGAGCAAAAAGCGACGTATGAACGGTCAACATGAAATTATTGGTGCGAAAGAATGGTTGAACACGAGCCTGAAGGAGTTGGCCCAAGGAAATCTCGCATATCAAGCCGAGGTGGATCTTCCGGGGGATGAAGATGATATAGAATAATTATATTTTGGACGAGCGAACAAATAAAATCGTGAACATTGATTCGATCCGCCCTGTAGTATCGTATAGCGATTACCTACCGGACCCTTCTACCGATTGCGCCAGAGGTGAGGACCGCCACATTCCAAGACGACCCAGAGAGCTAGATGGCGACGATGCATGTAGATCGGAGTGTCTGTGGTCAGACCGAAGCTAGCCCTGCTATACAAATGCACCTATTATAAAATACTCGGCAAAATGCAATGCGGTGGACAACATGCCTGCGCGACATTTAGGAAGAGTCTAATGTAGCTGCAATACATTTCTAACGCCAACAAGGTGGAGTCTGCAGTAAACAGTGAAATCTACCAGCAAACTCATCGGAGCACGGCGAGCGCAGTGAGGAAAACTGTTAATCGTTATTCCTCAACTCAAATGATTTCCCAAAATTTCTCGAGATGTTTCAGTGTGCAAGTGTATGCCATCATTTATCCACTAGAAAGTTTGCTAGTGTTACCAGTTTTACTGGGAGTCTGTGCTAATTACCGAGGTAGTGTCCCAACCGCTCACATAGGCAGGCGAAATCCCACCCGGGATAATTTGCCATGACGGCCCAGACGCTGTGCGAGTGGTTCTTTCGCTTTGTTGTAATTTACGATTCAGCTGCAGATTCGCTTCCTCGTATTGTATTGAAAATGATGTCCGTAGAAATTGAAAAACTCCATGAGAATACTGCCAGGGTTGCGCTGCATATGTCTGTGGGGCGGATACATAATCCCTAAATAAGAGTTCCTTTGGTGCCAGATTTAAGGGGGCAAAATGTCCTTTCTTACTCTTAAGCGGCACGGAACGCCCGGAACCGACTCCTGCGCAGCGAATTTGTACATATGTATATATATATATAAAGATATATATATGCTCTACGTTGGAAGGTGCTCACCACACGACCACACTTCTAAGTCAGTCCATTCATGAAAAGGCAACAAAAGAATTGTTGCTAGTTCCTTACTTCTTCTTTTCCGACACCTTCTACGACGGCTAAACGCGACGATGAAAACATTCTTTGTGGCTACATTTGCCTTCCTCACCGCTATAGGTGAGGTCTCAGCTCGTGGAGGCGAAGGTGGTGGCCATGGAGATGGTGATGGCGGCGATGGCGGCGATGGCGGCGATGGCGGCGATGGCGGCGATGGCGGCTATGGCGTGGCTGGTGGCCATCCTCCGCCGGGCAGTAACACGCAGACGGACGCTAGTGGTTGTCTCTGCAAAATGTAAGCCCCTCCGCTCGGAGCTTCTCTAAATTACCCTATCCTCCTCTTCCCAAACCAAATAGGCTAATTAATTCCCCTACTCTTAGGAATGTGCCTGGTCAAAATTTGGTTGGCAACTACGCACCCGGCAACGGATACGTCCATGGATCGATGAAAGTAAACGGTGGTGAAGGGTACGGGTCGTCTTGCTTCGTCACGTTCGATAGAGGTACCGGAGGAGGGTGTGACGGCTGGAGACAAGTTAGTGGACCAACAGGTTCTGGCTGTAACCAACTACAAAACACTTGGCTCGAGTGTGACACGGTCTATTCAGGCTAAGTCAACTCAAAGCTGGTGTCGGGTATTATAAAGTATCTTGTGTCGGAATTGTTAAGGAAAGAATCTATATAGGAAATTTAAATTATTAAAATATTAACGCGTGCGTAGATTTTAAGTTACTTAAAAGTCAAAGTAACTTCCAGAACACGGCGTGTTTCGTTACACCGGGGGGCAGATTAGGGCAAAACTAGGGACCACATACGACTTTGCTAAGGACCACATATGTGACGACTCGTAGGCTTCAGAGCCTGG